AAGGGTTTATCTGTGAAAGTAATGCAATTAGAGCTCAAGATATCTGCTTGGACACAGAACAGAATGTTTGTAATTTTGAAATTCATCCAAATGAGATTCCTGAAAAAGTACTGGTATATATAGGCAATGGATGTGCATGCTTTAGAACTGCTTGTGACAGTGTCTTTATAGAAAATTTGGTAGTGGATACTAAAAATCATTCTAATCTTTGTATTTGTGACTTCGCTAGAATTGCAGGGTGTGATTTTTCCTATGTAGCTCCAGTTACTCCTTACCATGTTTTGCAGTCAAATTATACACTGATCCACCATCTATTGCCCACTCCAATTTGAATGAACCTCTCTCTGGTGAAGCAATTGTTGCTCCACCAAGATCTGATCGAAATTTTGGAGAGGATCAAGAAAAACGGACAAAAAACTTTAATAGCTGCTCATCACAATGTGGAAAAAATACATCGTGTTTTGGAAAAAGTAAAGAAAGATACCAAACACAGGTGGTGGGATACACTATTTGGGTGGTCACCTACTGCTTCAGGTGTCCTGAATAAACTGTGTCCTCCCATCATTGTTCTTTTGATTTTGGTTTTAATTGGTTTTGTTTTATCAGCAATCCTATACATTATGAATTGCAGAATGATGAAACAGTTAACACAATTGCCATCTGTGATAGATATACCCAAATCAGTCACTGTTGACATCCCTAAAGTTATTGACACAAGATGAACTACACAGGCATTTAAAAAAAATAAGATAAACTCTGATATTGACTGAAATTGCTTATTTTTTGATTGTGTGGTATTTTTGGAATCAAAATCATTTACTTATTCTTTTGTAACCAAAAAATTGAAAAAATTGCTTATTTCTTTGTAATCAAAATTGAATGCATATTTTAATTGAGAATTGATTATTTGTTTTGTTTTGTTTTATCTCTCTCTCTCTCCTTTTCCTTTTCCTCTCCCTTTTTCTTTCCTACTTTTCTACTTTGTCTGACTCTGTCTCTGTTTTCTGGGATATGCTCCCAACTTTGACGAGTCCTGAAGACTTCGCAGCAGCTCTACAAAGGAGCTCTCTTGACGACGATCATGAGTCACGGGGTTTTGTAAGGGTCAGTCTGAAGTTTCCCTCCTTTTTTTTCCCTCTAGACCATCGCAAGGAGAACTCGAGGACCCCCACCCAGGCTGACTCTGGACAATGGTTGCCTGGCCTGGCCAAGATGGATACTTGTTAGGTGACTGTGTGCTCATGTATTGTGTTCACTGGACTGTGCTGTTGTGGCACCAACCAGAGATTGTGTTGTACCAACTGGAGACTGCATGTACTGCCCAACCACACCTGTCTCCCACAGCACCACACAATGGTCCATAAATCTTCCCACTTTTTGGCCAGAGGCCACTCGCTTTGGAGAAGGACTGTAAAAGAGCAACCCTCTGGAGAAGACCCTTGAGATCTCCCCATGGATGAAGACTCGTCTATTGGCTGGCCCATGAGGACATCTGTCTTGTCTTGTTGGTAGCTATTTTCCCATCCTGTTCTTTTTCTCTCTCTATACTTTCTTTCCCATATCTCTCCCCTCTATCGCAATGGAGTTGTTGGCATTTAATAAAAATGCACTGCTGTTGTTGAATAAATTGATTTTGTCCCCTGCATTTTGCCTGTTTGCACCTCTGAGATCAAACGAACTGTCACAACCCCCGCTCTGTATTAATAGCGAATCGTGACACCCTGTTAGATTACACAGGTGGGGAGATGCCTGAAGCAGGCAGTACAAAGGACCTACTCACAAGTAAAGTCTTAGAAATGTCCCTTGTTTGACCCACAGTCCCACCACACTATTCCAGTTGCATAAGGGCTAGGAAAACCAAGCAGAAGAATCCCTAGATGATAAGCACTGCTATCTTTGATTACCCCACCCTCAAACCTGGCAAAAGATGCATGCCATGGGCGTGAAGCAGGTGACCATAATCCAACATCATTCCAGCTCCCCTCAGCTTTCACATGGCTGCCATCTGAGCTGGCTGGGCACAGTGCAGCCCAGTTCAATATGCTTGCTGGAAGGGCAGCCTGCAGCAGAGGCTAAGGCACTTCTGGGCCAGTGCAAGAGAAAGGATCAAATGAGGAGTGCCCCTGTTGCCTTTTAACATAGCTCCACTAAAGGCTGGAATCTGTCATTCTTTATAGCAACTATGAGCACAAAGCAAGCACTCCTTCCAGACTCATCTCTCAGGGCTAATGCTGGCACAGCTCCACTCGCAATAAGAAAGGTAGGAGGCCAGAGCTGACAAGCCTTTATGTGACTGCTGCCTTTCAATTCAACCACCACAACAGCCATCAGAGCCCGAGTACCCAGTGGAGTAGCCCCAAACACTTTTGCTGAGATACTGTTTCTTCTGTCCCAACATAACCTATCCTGGTTTTGGTGACATTTTCACAGAGCTCCTGAGTATCCTACTGTATCAAATGGGATAGCAGAAGGAGCTGAGATGTGTCACTGTTTCTCTCCTCTAGGTAACACTTCAAAGCTGAGTAGGTGAAGCTGGTGCTAGGTACATGTGACAACTGTTGCTTGCCGCTGTGAGAGATGTTACCAAACAGAGAAACTTTTTTTTTTAAGTAATAGCATTACTTTTACCCCCAACAATTTATTGAAATGAGAATCAGAGTATGTAAGCAGAGTTTGGAAGCCTTGTACGAAACAGGGTAACTAGATGAGAAGTCAAAAAATTACTCCTTTCATGGTCATGAAGTCAAGCACTGATATATGGAGACGGAGGGACCGAAATATAAACTCCTGTTTCTAAACACCACAAATAAAAATAGGGATGAGAGTGCTTAATGCTTTTACAATGGATATAAGACAATGAGAGGACATTTTCTTCACAGATCCATAGGCTTGAAGGGAGTATCTTTGCATTGCTGACACCTACTGGCTTTGGGAAACTTCTGTCAGAAAGAGGCCCCATCCCTTAATGCCATTCCAAAACAGTAAAAGCAACCTAAAAGCTTTACCAAACACATCTACAAACATAATACAGCACAGCATCCCAAATTAGATACAGAATCATAGAATGGTTTGGGTTGGAAGGAACCTTTGGGTGGGAACACCTTCCATTAGACCAGGTTGCTATTCTTGAAAGGCCCTGCAATTTTAACATTTTCAAGGTGGTGTTGTGATGCAGAAACAAAGCCTCCCGAACCAGTTAAAGTTAGAAAGTGGTATCATCCTGGGCACACCTGGGAGAAATCTCCCACAGGGATGTGCAAAGTACTCAGGGCTCTTGCCACCTTTTATCCACAAGTCTTACATATTCATATAATTACACAATATGCCTATACATCTGCATTACCTAACCCCACCAATCTCCACTTCATATTAAAATAAGACCAAAGTCCTTCTATGCTTACTCAGTCCCTTCTTTCAAATGAGTTGGTGGGCATTTGAAATGGGTCCGTGGACTCCCAGTGATGAAATCAGGGAGTCTTCCTCGCCTTCAGCTTTTCACCTCTGTCTTGTTGCTAGGTTCTCAGGTCTTTTGGCCATAGTTCAAGCTCCTAACATGGTTCTGGCTGGTTTCAGGGCCCAGGTGCAGTTATGGTTCCTTCACTTTGACAATATCCCAACCGCCTGTCTTGACACAACAAAGCCAAGCAAGTTATTTATTGTCTTAGCTCTGGCTCAGCCACTTTCTACATTGCTTCTACTATAATCACTATATGTATAGCTTCTATCCCTCAGCCAAGCTTTTAACCCTTTGATTTTGGCTTCAGTTGTGAGTACCTGTTTACATGCAGTCACTAAGATCTCCATTAAAGCAAGGTAAGGAGTCTAAGAGTAAAACACACTGTAGATGGGTAATGAACATGGAGGTTTATTGTTTTTAGCTTTTTATCTTCATTTTCCTCAGTTTTGAGGGTTTTGTCGGTTTGGGCAAGGGGTGGGTTTTTGAAAATTAACAAATGGAGAGAGAGGCTAGATGAAGAATGAGAGACAGAGAAAATATTTTTGAGCTACATTTGACACCAGATAATGGGAAAGAGAGATTTGGATACAACTAGCTTCCAGTACAAGGAATTTGCCACCACAGCAAAAATAGCAAATTAGTTGAAAACCAGACTGGATTCTTCAATTAAGAGACAGTGCCATCCATTCTGGCCACAGCTGACCAGAAAGGGCTGCTTTTTAATGAACACATTTTCCCACTCCAAATGGATGAGAAACCATCTTACAGAGGTTTTGTGTCAGGTGAGGAAACCTAGTACATAATTATTTTTTATTATTTGCATTACTCCAGTATCTAGGGGATCTAATTAAAGACCAGCAGCCTGCAGTGCAAGGAGCTGCACAAATACAGATCAAAAGCCCACTCTGATCTCCAGTAGTAACGTCATTCCTGAATAGCTTATACAGTCAGCAGAGAGCAATCTTAAATTGCTGCCTGGCACTAGACAGAGAAGCATGCCAACAGCACGGGCAGACCTGATACTGGAGAACAGGATGCCAGGCCAGAGCAGGGAGACAGGCACATTACAGATATGGCACCACTGCTGACACCTTCTGCTACAATGTGGAATAGCAGAGAGAGGAAAAATGGCACTATGATGTTGCATCCATCTCAACAGAGATGAAAGTTGCCAGAAAAACAAATTATATTATATTAAATTAAAACAGCTACTCTGAACACCTTTCAACTGAAAAAGCTTCCTCTGGCATGACAGAGCTGTCACATAACAACACAACCCCTGTTCAATGTCTTAAACAATTACCAAGAAAAAAAGTGAAACCCTACCATTTGCTTTCACCACACTGATGACTCTGCTGTATTTTCACATTCTGTCTCTCACTCTCCTTGGAGTGGTTTCAGCTATTTAGGCTATACCCTGTTTAGTGCCAGAACTCTTCCTTGCGTTATGCTTGTATTGTGTGCCACACAGTGTGATCTCATTTGGCCACCATTAATCACCATGCTTTCTTATATTTGCTATGCAATTAACAGGACATTCTACCTGTAAACAGAGCATTCTGGCTCCTTGGAGAGTGCTTGGGAGAGACATCCTCCTTTGGTCCAAAGGGAGATGATATGCTCTCTGCAGAAGGGGTATCTGCTGAGAAATTCTCAAAGTCCTCTTCTGCTGGAGAGACAGGATCAGGAGCGTCCAACTTCTGCTCCTCCAAGCTTGCACTATTTGGATCCAGTTCCTTAATAATTCTGTCATACTGTGCAATGAAATCTTCACCATCTGTGCTCAATAGTTTTACACTTAAGTTACAATCTACCTCCTGAGAAGAAATCTTTAAGTCTGGCTATGGATCAATCTCAGTCATTTTCTGGTTTATTTGTTCTTTAATTACACCTTTAGTTGAGCTTGAATTTCTCTTACTGTGCTCATCTAAGTCATTTCCAGCTGGGTCTTTGCAAGAGACCCATTGACTATGGTCTGGCCCTGCACCTTGTGTTCTCTGGCTACATTTAATTTCTCCTTGGAGCTGTCATCATCCTGAGTATCCTTCTGGGCACATAACCTGTAAACCATATATCATCCTGAAAGTCTGACTCCTCTATATAAGAGCCTTTGATGAGCATAATGGTATTTTTTTTCATTTCTTGAATGTGTTTTGGTGGCTCTGCAGGTGGCTACATTTCTGTGCTTCCTAGATCATCATATGGTTGTGGTGAGCTCACATAACTAGGAGAAATCCCTGTGCCATAGCTATCATGCTCTAGCTGCATCTTCTCACTTAACAAAGCTGCTTGCACAGAACTACATGTACTAGGTGTCCTTTGCTGGAGCTGAAACATGGGGTATTCCACATCTGTACTGTTCTCCTCTGCAAGCATCTGGATAAAGGTGTTTGGATCAGGATTTACTCCATCATACAAGGCAGACCAAACCTCACAGTCTTTCATGCACTGCATGATGGCTTCCCCCAGCTACTGCAAGTAGCTGATGCCCACAGCCCTTCCATATTCCACAATGCAAGCAGATTCAAAATAACACCTACCAGTATCTGGAAGTAAAGAAGACGACTCATATCAAGAGTAGTATATCAAATTTTCTCCAGCAAGGCACCCACTAAGACATTACAGGGAGAGTCTTTAACCCTAACTATCCAATAAGGCAGGAAGACCAAAGCACAATTGAGATTTGCTCATGAACACATGACTTTTTGCTATCGCAAAGACAGAGCTGTAACTCAAGACTTCTCTGAGAGCAGCCTGCATTCAAATCCTAATGCAGCAACCACTCTGAAGCAGCCGGAGTTGCTGCCATGTATCAGTAACCTTTAGTTTGTGCTGGTTTTGTCCAGAGAATATAGTCTTTTCCTTGACTTTCAAGTGTCAGAGTGATTCCAGCGGAGCAGCAGAGAGGTGAGAGGACCAACAGTTTTGCAGCAGATACAGAGTAACAATCTCTCACCACTGGCCCACTGGCTCAGCATCATGTGGTTGCATGGGATCAGATACCTGAAACAGCAGTGCCCAGCATCACTTATCATCCTTTCATGTTAGAGAAAGCAACAACATACAGAATTCCCTTCCCACCTCCATGCCTTCTCAAATGAAAAGAAACAGCAATAATAATATTTACAGTGATCCATTTTCTAAAACTCAAGAGCATGAAACCATGACTCTTCATATTGTGATGCTTGGTTTGATGAGAAGCTGTCAAGATGAGTAGAGATAGGAGACAGTTGCATCAGAACAGGGAATCCTTTGCACATCAGAGCAAACCTGTTGTTGGAAAGTATGGAGGCAGAAAATCTAAGGCCAGCAGAATGGTTTGGTCTGACTATGAATGCATTTGGTCTCAGAATCCTCAATTTATGTTTTCCAGGGAAATCCAGAGAGAGGCAGTTTGCCAGGCAAGCAGCTAGAGAAAAGAAGATGGAAGGGTCATCCAAGAGTTTTACTGCAGCAGATCAAGACTGAGCTCTTAGGCAGAGGAGGGATGATGCTAGAGGAAGCTAAGGAACAGAGAAAGCAGTCTCATGCTGAACTTCTTCAGAGCACTTTTGTTATACTTTTTAAAAGCACTATTGTAAGAGCCTCAGTGTTAATTGCACCAACAATCTGTTGTTCAAAATGCAAATAAATTCTAAAGGATTCCCTAAATAAGCAAAAAGATCAACCACAGCACTCTAATGCTATAGTGGTGATGTATTTATGTTCACAGAGGTCCTAACAGTATTTCCAGGCACCACTGCCAGATCTATAGGGAATTTCACCTTAGTGTTTGTGTGTAGAGGGACAGACAGTATTTTGAAGCAATGTGTAGAATCACAAATCAAAACCAAAAATTATCACTGCATTTAGTACATCACTTAATCTACCCACAGTAGTGCAGGAACCTGAAGTATTCTCATTGAGTGAGGAATCAAAGAGGTGAAAAACAACAAGAAGGGTGGAAGTTGCAAACAGTATATAGGTCCATATCACAATGCATAATACAGTAGAGAAAACATGCAGGAGGGAAGAATTATGCATTTAGAAGCAGGAATAAGGACTTCAAAGGTGATAAATGTTTTCTTCTTATAAATATATAAGCTTCTCTTACTTTTATAGAAATAAATCACAGGAAAAAATCCCTTGTTCTGGAGATCATAGGATGTAAATCAAACTTCATCAGGTCTGGTAGACTTTTGTCAGGACCATAAATATTCTTATCTCTGTAGCTACTTGGATTTTTGATCTCTTGGAGAACTGTCACCCAGCTCAGCATCCACAGGCAGAGACCATACATCTCAAAGCTAGGAGGAAGAATGGAAAAAAGAGTTTGGGCTTTACCTTAGAACTAGCTGTAACATCACATCTTCACAATGCAAGACAATGAGAGTTCTGAACAATGCCAAGGAGACCACACAGAGATGGAAAATGATAAACATTGTCAGCTTTTAATTTGGAAATTGTATCTTTCCAATCTTCCCTGCATACTACATTACAAAAAGGCTCTGCCAGAACATCATGATTTATAAGATACTCTTAGAATAGCATTTCATTTAGTCAGCATCCCATTAGATTTTTTTTTCAAGTTGTCTAGAGCTATACATGTAATGTCACATTTTAACAAAATATAAACAGAATTTTCCTTTAAATAAGCTATTTTAAAAAGCCATCTTAAATATTACTCAAATTTATTAATTTGACTTAGCATGAACTGAACCCTATAAGCTTGTATTGGTTTGAAAGTAAAACCAGTGCGAGACTCCAAGTCAGTAATACAATTTAATAGGAGAAAAGAGAAAAAAATAAAATACATGCAATAATATAAAAGAAACAACCACCAACACAGTCAGAAATACAACCTGACACCCTGTCAGTCAGGGTGTTGGTAGCAGTCCGTATAAATGGTGGCTGCAGTCCTCCTGGATGACAGATGTGGTTCTGTTGAAGCAGTGCTCCTGTAGAAGGTGCAGTTTTCCTCCGAAGATCTAGCGATGATGTGGAAAAGATCCGACTTTCCTCTGGGATCCAGTGGAAAGGTCTGCCTTCTCGTCCCAAACCCCAGTTTTTTATCTAGGTAGGAAAGGCTTGGCTCCTGCCCCTGGCTCGAGCATCTCCCAATGGGATGATGTAATCTTATCAGTCACACAATAGGACTTAATGGCCCATTAACGGAATATATCTTCTGGAGGAAGGATGGGTTGTGAAAAGATAACAATGATCATCCCCCTGATCTTATCAGATGGCACATCAGCAGAGGATATCTCCCACAGAGATAAGGATCACCACCCCTCCCACATTTTAAGAAATGGTGATAGAATACACATTTTTGCATTGTACCCCAGGACAAAGCTCCAATTCAGTGTTTTAGGTTTACCTCTGACACAGAATTTAAACCAACTAGAGGTCTTTTCTGAAATAAAAGTTATCAATCACTTCAGGTTTCTGTTGTTTTAGGTATAAGGAATTATTAGTGTTCTGTATATTAAGCTGAATAGTTGAAGAGCTTCACAACAAGCCCTTGGAAGAAGTCATATTCTTACATGAAAAGTGTATTTTAACTGGAGGAGGGTCAAAGGAGAAAAACAGGAAATCTCCTTTCATTTGTGAAATTTACAGGGAGTCAAGTATAACTTTTTTTGCATTACATGACATTTGAAAAACACCTGCTGCTGACTCAAATTAGCCTGTATTCAATAAATTTCAGTTTACAGGGAAAAAGTAATCATTAGTGTTTGTAATCCTTTGCAAATCTTGAATTTTCTGAATAACTAAATCCAAGTCTATTTTTGTACTGTGTAAAAAGATAAGATTTAAAATACACTCAAGAAACAAAGAGGATAGTATTTCTACGTAGCCGTGGAAAGGGGTTTTAACCCTTTAAGTGTGGCGGAAATAAGATGCACAGCTACATGGTCATCTTTCATGATAGAAAGAAAGAGACAAGTTTATTCAGAAACACACTTGGTTTTATAGCATGACTCACAATTCCAAGAGTAGAGAAAAGGTGATTGGCTCAGAGAGAAGGCACCCTGTTCCCAGGGCCTGGTCACGTACCACAACAAGTGTTCTATCGTTGTTATTAATTCCTTTTTATTTTGACCAAATTATCACCCTGGGTGAAATTCTCCCTAGCCTTGAGCTGGACCAGCTTATTGGCTGGAAACAGAGCTGAAAAGCTCCAGCCTGGAATATTTTTCAGGCTGTAATTTTCTTACTTTATCAATATGTGTCCCACATTTCTACAAGTCTTTTCAGGCACCTGTCTCTAAATAAGTATAACTCTGTGAATTTTTAATCAGTATTTTCATCAATAGTAATGTACACTGCTTTTGTACTATGTTTGCACTTGGCTGAGCTATACTGCAGAAAACTCCTTTAGCATCACAGAACCATTTTGGCTGAGATCCTGAGTTGCTCAGGGCTGCAGAATTCTTTGCAATTCCCATCTCATTTGCCTGTGGAATAGTAACTAATGATTAGCAGAGACAACAGGATTTGCATTTTTGTTGACAGAACTGTTCCAGGTTTCAGAGTTAATCCATCTTAGAGATGCACTAACGGCAGCATATATTGGAATTTGCATACACTTACATTTCAAAACAATTTTCAGATGAAGCTACTACCTAATACACAAATTTAATGTGCATGATGGTGTTCTGGCTTCTCTTGCACTAGAACAGTATTCTTGATTTCATCCAGGAAGCTCTGCATCACCCAAGAGTCAGCCAAGGCTACCAGTCAAGCAAGGCTCACTCAAGTCGTCCAGTGCAACAAGTAGTCATTGTCTCATCCAGAAGATCCAACTGTTGGGAAAGGTACAAAGGTACTCTCTCTGGCAGGCAGTTCTCCAGCCACCGTGCTGCACTGTGCCTAGGCTGAGAAGGGGCTCAGCACAAACCTGATATAAACCCTACCACACAAGGCAGTGGCAAAGAGAAGGAAGCAGCAACCTCATCACTTGAACGAGAAAGCGTGTTGTTTTAACCAAATGAAGCAGGAAACATCGTAGTTAAGTAAACATGCTACAGTAATACAGACTATAGATTCCTGAGAAATACATCAGTGAGATTGCAGTTGACAACTGGGATCCATTTGGAGATATCCTTAGAGGGCTCCCATTGTTTTTCCAGATAGACTATTTGAAAATGTTTGTTGCTTGGCAAAACTCCAAAGATCAAAAATGCTTCTCACCACAAGTATATTTCTAAGTCCCGGGGAGAGTTATATAGTATTAATCCAGCACTGTTCAAAATAAAAATGCTTCCAAATTTACCTTTTATTTTCCAAGAGAATTCAGACTTCCAGAAGCTCTCATTACCTCTGTCCCATTTCCTACATATGTGAAACAATCTCACAGGTTTATTAGCTTTGTATAGCAGTTGTTAAGTGTCGAAACACACATGCACAAAATTGAAAGAGTGGAGGGGAGAAAATTGCTAGTTAAACAAGTACCCAAACTGTAATAAACAAAATCTCCCACTTAAACATTGAAGCTACATCCATACTGAGATCCTGGACTTCCTTTCTTCTTGTCTTACCCGGAATGGTGTGTTGATCCTGCTGGTAAGTGTATCCAGGATATGAACATTCTCCTGTCAGTACAGCAAAATAAAGTGAAGGAAAATCTTGAGGAGATCTGGCTCCAAAATGATGTGCAAGAAGAGGTCCACGTATGCAGTCATAGTCATCGCTTCCTCCACAGTCACCTGTAAGCAAAAGTAATGTAAATACTGCAAACACAAGCATACTGCACATACACCCATCCATTCTCTGCAGTGGTATATCCAGCAAAGCTCTCCATCCATAATACTGCCACAAAACCCACTGAGTTTTCATTCTTTAATTTGCCTCACAAGCATTTTGAACACATTTCCGACCTGTCTTGCATCCTCAGGAAAAAAACTGACACTCCAGATCTCACACATAGTGAAAATCTAAGGATGAAATTATTCTAGAAGATCCCCAATACCTTTCTGCCCATGTCATCTTCTTTGCATAACAATTCTGTTGTCCCTCAGAAGCATTTTCAGATGTTGTGAATGCCTGCATCTACCACTTAATTAAAAACGAATGTCAGAGCAGAATAAAAAGAGCAGAGTACAAGGTCGTGGTCGTGAATCTTTAAAGAGAAAATTCCCATAGATGTCCAGAATTTTGTCATGATTTTCCTTCTTTTTATTTTACCACAGCACAATTTCTCATTTTACTCAATTTTTAAAAGGAGTATATATACAAATATATTCATACATAAAGCCCAACCCAAAATCTTCACTACTGACTATTAGTTGATCAAAACAGAATTCATGATCCATGTGACATTTGCATACCATAACCCACACTGCCCTGCTTATTGCAATCCCTTGGAGATTATCTATTTACAGAACACACTGGCAAAGCACAGAAAATTCCAAAGCCCGCCTCTGCACCATGTACTGCTCTTGCAAAGTCAGCATTTTCTATATAGTTACCCAGGAATCTAATACGTTTAAGTGCACAAAGATAAACCCTTAAATACAAGAATCTGTCTATATGAAAGGAAATACTAAATATCTTTTGTTTACCAAACTTAGCTGGATAAATTAAAAGACTGGTTTTATTAAAAATAAAAATCAAAGCTGTCACTTAAGACCTAAGAGGATTTAGAAAATACTCAGAAGGGCAACATTTACGTAACATGCTGTAAATATTAAAATCTCTGTTCCATTATGCTGCATGTTAGTCATGTACACAGTAATGTAATGATGCAAACATTCTCTTTAAAGCATTTAAGATCACAAGCTGCTTCTGGGTGGTTACACAAAACATAGGAATGGGGTACACAGCCTGCAGACCTTATGGAGAGAGAAGCTCTAAAGCTAAGGTCATTGAATCACTCTCAGTCTGAGGCTTTACTCTAATGCTCAGCTACACCATCATTAATACAGTGGGACACTAGCTCATTTTGGCATTAGAAACAAAGCACCAGTGAAATAGCAACAATCAAATTTTTCATCAGGAAATAGAAGCAGCCCAGCTCTAATCAGAATCCTTTTTTCTTGGAATAGGTTTGGGGATTTGTGGTGTAAAAAGGAATAGCTTTCTGATGAAAGTTATTGTCTGTTGTCCTAAGAACTGTCTTTTCTTGCGTTTTTGTTTGTTTGTTTGTTTGTTTGTTTGTTTGTTTGTTTTTAATAGCAGTGAGTGGTAAAAAGCAAAGCCCAGTAATTCCTTCATGTGACATCCTTATGACACCATACAGTTCATGGACAAGTTTAAACTCTCTGCCAAGGAAAGGACAGAGAGAAGTAATATATTGTTACATCTCCACATCCCTTCATCCTTTATGGGGAAAAGGAAGCATGTTCTGGACTGCCAGTTTCACCAATGCTTGCTGATAGAATGTACATGTATCAAATACTGTAGCTGTATATGAAAGCAAGAAAAGCCAAAATATGCACAAGGGCAGTGACCTTTTTTTAAAACCCACACTCTTTGGACAACTCATCCTACAATTTCTATTGGTAAGATAAACCCACATGCTTTTCAAAGTGTGTATCATGAATGAAACAAAGAGCAGCAGCAGAAAAAAGCCAGCTGGAGAGCAACTTAGAAAAGAAATGTTACAGTCTGAGAGTGGGCTCAGTGTTCTCAACAGCTTGGGCACTAGAAAAAAATAAAAATCATGTTTAATAGCCTACACTTCACTGATACTGTCACAGGGCAAGCTGGCTTGTACTGGGCAGTTAATCTGACCACTGATAAAAGAAGCAGCCTGGCTTAATAGACAGGCTCCCAGAGAACAGAGATAGGACAGAATTGGAGACAGACAAGGATGTGATCCAATGACTTCCAGCCCAAGCAGCAGAGAGCTATTGGTCAGAGTGATGAGCAGCCTGAACTTTGAACCAATCACAGGTGCTTACCCAGGAACATGAAAAGGGTATTTAAGGTGAAGTTGGAGGGGAATAAAGGCTTTTTTGTCACATGGACCACAGAGTGCAGCGTCTTCTGTCTCAGGAACTGTGCCAGTCGCAGTAACAGATGGTGACCCTGACGTGATCTGACATAGCCATATCACCACAAGTGGGGGAGACAGGCCGTTCAGAGAGATGGGGGATTCTGGACAAGAGTCAGGGCTGTCCAAAATTTGAGAGATGCCAGAGAGGTAGGAAGTGATGGCCTGGAGCCAGACCGTCCAAAGAGACAGGAAGACGCCAAAAAAAAGAGGCGGGAAGTTCTGGCTGAAGCCAGGGACGTCCGAGAGATGGGAAGAAGCTTTAGCCAAAGAGCTGAAGAAACATGGGAGGCATCTTTTCTGCAGATACACACCCGGCCATACAGGTAGGGACAGAGTTTTTGGAGGAATGGGAAATTGAATATGAAGAGGAATCACTCTTTGATTTAATACTATGGACAAAAGAAAATGGGTTAGAACCAACCGGGGAGACTGCACTAGATATGGACTATTGCAATAAATTGGAAAAGAAATCATAAATAGAGCGTTAAAAAATTATCTACAAGCACTGAAGTTGGTAAAACCTTGGAGGATCATTCAAAACTTAATAAAACAGATGAAATCCTCAGTGCAGACCGATAAAGAGAGTGACAACCAAACGGGGATAAGGGAAAACATGGAGAAACGCAGCCTATCCCCTACGTACAGCAGCACAGAGAATGAATTACCTTCTCAGTGTGAAGCAATTCCACAGACCCTCTGCAGTAAACCATCTGCAGCCAGAAGTAAGGGGCAGGCAGAGCGCTCTGTGCCATCCCAGGGAAAAGCGGGGGGGAGAAAAGAGAATGAAAAAAGATCCAAAGATGGCAGTGACCTCGTGGTCAAAGGAGAGGTCTGGAAACAATCCCAAGATGGTGGTGACCACGTGGTCATGGGCGGGAGAAAGGAAACACAGCCTCCCTCATGGGAGGCCCAAGCCCAGCCCTGGTGGGGTGTGCCTCCTACTCCGACCACACCTTGGTGGGCGGTACCTCCAGCCTCGGTCCAGCCTCAGGCAGGCGGGGCCCCAGCCCCAGCCCAGCCTCCAGAGGGCGTGTCTTTGCCCCAAGTCACCACGGAGACCCCCACCGACCCCCAAGAAGAGGTGCGCCGTGATGACATCACACAAGGAGTGACACATGATAAACCCAGAAGTGCATTGGGACTGAGAGATACAAATGCCAAAGCCCCGAGAACCACTCCAGAACTGAGCTTCAACCCTCATCCTGCAACCATAGCATGCACAGCTTCTTCACATCAGAAGCCAAGTATGGAACAGCTCCAAGAAGTCACTGCACAGAGGAACAGCCAAGACACCCAGGAACAGGACACAAGCCCTCCAGCTAATAGCCTCCAAACAGCAGCTCCAGCCCCACTGATGTTCCAAGCAGAAGCCATCCCTATTCAAGACCTGGTAACCTTCTGGTTAGAGGTAAAATAAAGGGCAATAGGGTGTGGGGATATAGAAACAGCTGCATTGATTTCTGTGCCAAAGTATTAACCATCACCAGGAAACTGGAAACAGAGGGAGGGAACAATTGAAGCTTTCCCAGTTAGTAATGGGATAGCACCTAACCAATATGTACCCTTTAATTGGCAAATCCTTTTAGACCTACTCCAAATAGCTACTAAACACGGGTTTGGATCCCTGGCTGTTGCAAAATTGCTTCAATTTATAACTTCTAGTGAATTAACCCCTTATGATATAAAGCAAATTGCAAAATTACTCTGTACTCCACTACAATACATGATATTTGAATCAACCTGGAGAAGAGCAAGAGTTACAAAACTTGAGATTATCAAAGCAAGATCCGTGCTTTGGGGTGAGGGTTCCCCAACTAATGGGAATACATCCCATGGAGGATCCTCAAACCCAAGCACGCTTAACTTCTGCAATATTAAAACAGGCAGAAGAATTAGGGATGAGAGCCCTAAATAAAATTACAAACATGTCTGTGCCAACCCAAGGATATAAAAACATAAAACAAAGCCCAAATGAAATATATACACAGTTCATAGAGAGACTGCAAGCTACCATAGAAAAACAAGTAGCTAATAATGATGAAAAAAATCGAGTATTGCTACAACTAGCACAAGATAATGCAAATGAAGACTATAGAAAACTCATAAATGCATTGCCCAAAGAAAATCCATCCTTAGAAGAAATGATTAATGCATGTGCTAAGGTTGGAACTTCATCACATAACATGGACATGTTAGCTAATTCTATTGCAGCTGCAGTAAGGCTGAGAGCACATCGCTTCAGAGATAGCAAAGCCGCATGAAAGCGAACTGTCCCAAAAAACCTGCCTTACAGAAGAAGAATTTACCCTGTAATTGAGGTGGAAAAACCAGAACAGTAAAAATGAAGATTAGAAAACTTAACCACACCAACCAAAGCAATGCAAACAGCAATGTTCACCTTCAGCAGAGCTCAACAACTACTTCATCCACCTCCGACTTGACTTTGACAAAGCCTGTATATCTTGCAAGTTTTACTAAGTTAATATTTACCTTGTTAACCTGTTTTTTCACAGTTGCAGTGAAAATACTATGCCAGTACTATAAATATGGCTTGCAGTTTGCTCAATATATCTAAAGTTTGTAGTACAATGTATCCTGTTATTGTTTGCAAATGCTGTGTCTTGGGGTGACCCCTAAACCAGGACATGCTGAAACCAAAATTTCACAGATCAATTCTTTTACAGTTGCTAAAAAAGTATTTTATCTAAT